ATGCTGCACTTTGGGTCTCTCCTGGGCTGGATATACTAGATCTCATAATCAGGACAAATCTGTGGCAGTACGGGACTTTTAAAATATAATAACCAAAATTAGTGTGATTATAGTAATAACTATTAATTACTGAGGCTACTCTTTATTAGATAGCTACCATTTTACAGGCACAGGACTAGATTCTTAAACTGCATTAGTTCATATTAGTCTATATTAGTTCATTTTATCCTCATAACAACCTCATGTGGTAAATAGTGTTATCCCCTTTTGAGGAACTGAGACTCAACTAAGTAGGGTGACTTTCCCCATGACATGCAGGTAATCAGTGACTATAAGAGGCCACCAAGAACTGGTTTCTGATGCTGCCACAAAGGGCAGTGGTAGGAATTTTTTTTAAGATCCTAAAAGGAGCTAAAAAGATTTTTCCTGTTAAACTGGTCTCTCCAGTTTAGATGGATTTAGTAACATAAATTGGCTGCCAATTACCACATCAGCTCAGAGCCACTTGCCACTCAGCGGCTACATGATTTTGGGCATATCATTTTATCTCTTTGAGTCTGTTTCCCTAGTTGTAAAGATAGGAATATTAATGTCTACCCTGCAGACTTTAAGCTATAAATGCTTACAGGAGACAAAGAAGGTCATTATGTAATAATAAAGGGGTCAATTCATCAAGAAGATATAACAATCATAAATATTTATGCACCCAACATTGGAGCACATATATATATATATATATATATATATATATATATATATATATATATATATATAAAGCAAATACTAACAGAACGCAAAGGAGAAATAAACAGCAATGTAATAATTGTTGGGAATTTTAATACCACTCTCTCAATAATTAATAAATCATCCAGACAGGGACTCAATAATGAAACAGCAGAATTGAACAACACTATAGGCCAAACAGACCTAACAGACATATACAGAACATTCCATCCAATAGAAACAGAATACACATTCTTCTCAAGCATAGAAAAGGTCAGGAATATTAAGAGTTGGCTTTTGGGGCAGGCCGAGTGGCGCGTTGCTTAAGAGTTGGCTTGGGACATCAGCTCTGAGCAGCAGGGCCCCGGTTTGGATCACACATGAGGGCCAGTGGCGCTGTACCCTCTACAGCTAAGATGGTGAACAACAGCTCGACCTGGAGCTGGGCTGCCATGAGTCGCCAGCAACAGCGTAGGCTGCAGTGGGGCTGGCCGGCAGCTGGCATGCACTTTCCTGAGCTGCCATGAGCCACTGTGAGCAGCCTTCCAATGGCTGGCGAGTGACTGCCTCACTCAGGAAGAGCGCAATGATAACACCAACTTGGGCCAGTGAAGCAATGTCCTCCACAAATAGACTGAAGAACAAAAGAACAGCAACTTGTCTGTTCCCCTTCCCTGATTCCCCAAGCTGTTCCCCTCCCCCAATTCCCCAATAAAATTCTTAAAAAAAAAAGAGTTGGCTTTTGGAAAAGATAAAACAAAATTTACAAACCTTTAGATAGAATAATCAAGAAAAAAAAGAAGGGAGGAATCAAAATTAGAAATGAAAGAAATGCCATTCACAACTGATACCACAGAAAGACACAGGATCATAGGAGACTACTGTGAACAATTATATGACAATAAATTGGAAGACATAGAATAAATGAATAAATTCCTAGCAATATCAATCTGTTAAAACTGAATCATGAAGAAAGAGAAAATCTGAACAGACCAATAATGGGTAAAGAGATTGAATCAGTACTGAAAAACTTCCCAAGAATGATAAGCCCAGGAAAACATGGTTTCACTGAATTTCACCAAATATTTAAAGAAAAATTAATGCAAACCTTTCTCTATTTCTTCCAAAAAGTTGAAGAGGAAGGAGCTCTCCTAAACTCACTTTACAATGCCAGCATTATCCTGACACTAAAGCTAGATAAAGATACTATAAGAAAACTATATGCTAATATTCCTGATACATATAGATGCAAAAATTCTCAACAAAATATTGGGTTGTTGGAAAAGTCATGACATATTTTTTCTATGTTTTTCATTGCAAAAATGCATCATGACTTTTTCGACAACCCAGTATTAGCAAACCAAATTCAACATAACATCAAAAGGATCGCACACCATGAATAAGTGAGATTCATCCCTGAGATGCAAAGATGGTTTAACATTACACAAATCAATAAATGTGATACATTACATTAATGAAACAAAAGATAAAAATCACATGATTAACTCGATAGATGCAGAAAAAGCATTTGACATAGTTTGACACTGTTTCGTGATAAAAACTCTCAACAAATTGGGTATATGAGGAATGCACCTAAATGTAATAAAAGCCATACATGACAAGCCCACAGCTAACATCAATCTCAATAGTGAAAGGCTGAAATTTTCCTCTAAGGTCAGAAATAAGACAAGGGGGCCCCTCTCACAATTCCTTTTCAACATAGTATATTGTAAGTCCTAGCCAGAGCAATGGGATAAGAGAAATAAAAGACATGCAAATTGGAAAAAAAGAAAAAGTAAAACTGTCTCTGATTGCAGATGACATGAAATTATGTCTATAAAATGCTGAAGACTGCAAAAAACTATTAAAACTAATAAATGAATTTTATAAAGTTGCAGGATATAAAATCAAAATATAAATACAAAAAATAAGTTGCATTTCCATGCATAAACAATGAACTCTCTGAAAAAAAATATTAAGAAAACAATCCCATAAACAATAGCATTAGAAACAATAAAAAAAATGTGATGTATACAGGGGGCGCCAAAAAATGTATATACATGACTTGTATTCATCTTTTGTTAACAGTATATAATGAGTATTACAATTTTAATACAGTTGTTTTCCTTTCTTAAAATGTGTATACATTTTTTTGGCACCTTCTGTATATATTCCTCTATATTCCTACACAGAAGAAGGAAATCCTGCCTTTGTGACAACATGGATGAACCTTAAGGGCATTATGCTAAGTGAAAGAAGTAAGGCAGAGAAAGTCTAATATTGTATGATCTGACTTACGTGGAATTTAAAAAAAACTCAGAATTCACAGAAACAGATTAAATTGATGGTTGCTAAGTGCGGGGCTGGGGGCGACAGGTGAAGGTGGTTAAAGGGTACAAACTTCCAGTTATAACATGAATAATATCTGGCTATCTAATGTACAGCATGGCGACTACAGTTCATAATGCTGTATTGTATGCTTGAGAGTTGCTAAGAGCGAACCTTAAAAGTTCTCAACACACACACAGACACACACACACGGTAAGTATGTGAGGTGATAGACATGTTAACTAACCTTACTGTGGTAATCATTTCACAATCCCTATATACAATGCCTATATACAATGTCTATATACAAACCATCACATTGTACATACTTACACAATATGTCAATTATATCTCAACAAAGCTAGAAAAATATCTACCTCATTTAACAGGGTAACTCATTGCAATGAGAGATGTAAAAGCCCCTTTATAAAACTTAAGCTTTCTAAAAGTCTAAGGAACTTTCACATTAATTTTTCAAAATTCATGTTGCAATTACAATTTCCTTGGGTGTTGCCCATGTCCTTAGGCATTGGCTCTTTAAGCTAAAAAGGCTGTGTTCACTTACCTGACAGGGTTGTGAAAGGCTCAGATGAAATGGCATCATTGCAAGTGCTTTAACCATGTACAATTATGATTATTTAAAACGTCGGTCAAATTCAATTGCAAAAAATTCTCTTACCATGAGCAACCATGAATGGCACATGGCAACCTACCTTTTTCAAAATATCCTCACATCAACAACTTGAAACAACCAAAGAATTTGGGCTTTGAAGATCATTATTCTGCACTTTAACCCTTATCTTAAGGTATAACAATGCAAAGTTATCCCAAAAATATGTACATAAAATAATCACAAAAATCCTATAGAGCAATTTTATTAAATAGTTCTGCATGGCAGAAATCCAATGTCAAAATGATGATGATTTGGAAATACAAGTATATGAAATCAGGTTCTTCCAAAAAAAATACATGTAAATTTAATTATGCCTGGAAGCTGTTTTTTGAAATGGGCAAAAATACCCACAATGTGTCATAAATGCTGTATTTCTGCTCAGAGCAGTGATTTAGAGTCATGCGGCTTGCCACAGCCAGAGTCCCTGACAAAGGCTGAGAGGATCCGCACAGCAGTCAAGCTGCTCATTATCTAGAAGGCTACATATAACATTGTCATCTTCCAGTTGTTTGGTGGATGAGGTATGAACACATTGCAAAGAACTGACAGAGGAAAGAGACTCAAAATCCTATCCCACCTCAAATGACCTCCCCATGTTACCTCTGAAATGAAGATGGGTTATGAAATTAACATTTTACCATACAGGGTAGGTGAGCAAATCATTAAGAAGAATGCTGAAACGATGGCCTAGAAACACAACGGTGCTGCAGTTCAGGTCAGCACAGCAAAGATAAACACACAGAGATATGCCAATCCTGCTCATCGGATGGCCTTCAGCAAGAATATATATTTGTCACACTGAAAACAGTCCTTCGAAACAAAAACATTCTACCAGCCCACACCCTATGAATGTCAGCTAACCTAGAAGGCCACAGTTATGCTGCAATAGCAAAATGATAACTTTTATGAGATCAAAACTCATTCAGACACCCTTGTGACTCCCTGTCACCTTTCCCTATTCTCAAGCCTGCTGCATCGATACCACACCTTAAATGGCTGAAATAGCCCTTGGTTTCCATCCAAGCTCTTAGAATCTTCCTTTTATTGCTAGATTACTTCTTCCCTTCACATCTCTCCTGGGGATTTAGGGACAAGACTAATAGGATGGCAGAATCATTGAGGGAAGATACCAGGAGTGTCTCCTTCCATCAGATTTAGTGTGCTAACAGGACCTTTGCAGGACCTGTGGTCTGTACATAAACTGGGGTAGTAAGTCTCTGCCCAAGAAAAACATTAAAGCACAGTCCAGTTTAGCTGGACTCTCAGAAAAACTTACAGCTTTCAATTTCCAAGGTGCAGTTTTGCTCATCCAGTGGGTAGCGCCTTAGGTCCATCATGCAGGCAGCTGTGGTTGTGATTCTAGAAGAGAAAGAACAATGATATATGCTGTGAGCTGGTCCATGGCTAGAGCTGCAAAAATTCAGTCTAAGCATCAAAGAGGAGAGCACTGGGCCTCTGGGAGATGGATGTAGCCAAAGCTCTAATGAAAAAGAGTGCTGCAACTTTGGAAAACCATCTTCCATGATGAGGTTCATGCTGATTTGTAAAATAAAGAGACTCGACCAAATAATTTTTTTCCAAAAGTATGGTCCATTATCTACTTGTAGCAAATTCACCTGGGAGTGTTTGTTAGGGAGTTTCCATGCTCCAGAATATTTCGGGGTGTGGTGGAGTCCCAGAACCCTTATTTTACGAGCATCACAGGTGATTAAGAATCTCAACACAGATATTCCTTTTCCATTCCCATTTGCTTTCTCCTCCCTTTCTCAAGACCCTAAAATCTAATCTTCCATCAATCCCAGCTTTGATCCATCATTTTTGACCTTTCTATGCATAGTAGAGTACTTTGCAAGTGCTTTAATACACATACAATCAGCCTTTCATCTATCACTTGAATTGCTCTGTCCTGAGTAATCTGATATTCTTAATGACTCGTTAGAGAGCTTCCTCCTATGGGCTGGCAGTTATTTATTTAGACCACTGGGTACTTTTATTACTTTATGAGAGAGAAATGAGTATGTCCCTTTAATGTCTTTATATTTCTCTGTCATCATTTTTTACTAATCTCTCTGTCGAAGACCAAGTAGATGGAGCCAAAAATGTACACTCCTAACTGATTTATTAATATATGTTTTCTGAACACTGACGCAGAATAAGGTCATGAAAAAAATTCAAGTTTTAGAACACATCAGACATAGCTATAAATTCTAACTCTGCTTCGCCGAGTCATTGACATCAAGATGGTTAACGTTTCCTAACCAACCTTAGTTTCTTTGTCTGTAAAAAGGGAATATTATTAACAACAATAATAATTACCTAACAAGGTTTCAGTAAGAATTGATATAATAATTTATATAAAGAATATAAAAGAGTAAGTGACATATAATAGGTTCTTAAAAAAATTCCTTTTGCAACTGCAACAAAAAGAATAAAATACCTAGGAATAGACTTCACAAAAGATGTGGACCTATATACTGAAAACTATAAGGCTTTATTAAAAGAAATTAAAGAAGACACAAAGAAATGGAGATATTCAGTAATCAAGGAGTTGAAGAATGAACACAGTTAAAGTGGCCATATTACCCAAAGCTATCTACAGATTTAATGCAATCCCCATCAAAATCCCAGTCACATTTTTTTTAAAGAAATAGAACAAAGAATTATCAGATTTATGTGGACCAAAAAGCCGAAGCAATCCTAAGAAAAAAGAAAAGTGCTGGCGGTATCATACTCCCTGACTTCAATTTATACTACAGAGTGACAATAATCAAACCTGCATGGTATTGGCAGAAAAACAGACACACAGGCCAATGGAATAGAATTGAGAATCAGAAATAAATCCACGTATACATGTATATGGACAGATAATTTTCGACAAAGGAGCCAAAACATACAATGGAGAAAAGAAAGTCTCTTTAATAAATGGTTCTGGGAGAATTGGAAAGCCACATGCAAAAGAATGAAAGTAGACTGCTATCTGTCATCATATACCAAAATTAACTCAAAATGAATCAAATACCTAAACATAAGACCTGAAACAATAAATTGCAGAGGAGAAAGCATAAACACTAAGTTTATGGACCGTTGGGTACAGAGAGGATTTTATGAATTTGACCTCTAAGGCAAGGGAAGATAAAGCAAAAATGAGTGAATGGGACTACATCAAACTAAAAATCTTCTGCACTGCAAAAGAAACCATCAACAAAACAGAGGCAATAAACAGATTGAGAGAAGATATTTGCAAACACCTCCGATAAGAGTCTAATATCCAAAATACATAAAGGACTCATGCAACTCAACAACAAAACAAGCAATTCAATTAAAAAAATGGGCAGAGGATCTGAACAGACACCCAAAAAGACATATGGATGGCCAACAGTTATATTCTCAGATTCATTAGCTGTTTGGGAAATACAAGTCAATACTACAATAAGATACCGCCTCACACCTGTTAGAATGGCTATCATTAACAAGACAAGTAATAACAAGTGTTGGAGGGGTTGTGGAGAAAAAGAAACCCTCATACACTGCTGATGGGAATGTAAATTGGTACAGCCGCTATGGAAAAGAGCATGGAGGTTCCTCAAAAAAATTAAGAATAGAACTGTAGAGGAAATGACCCAACAATTCCTCTTCTGGGTATTTACCTCCCAAAATCTGAAAACATTTATCCATAAAGATATATATACCCTTATGTTCATTGGAGCATTATTCACAGTAGCCAAGACAAGGAAACAACCAAATTGTCCTTTGATAGATGACTGGATAGAGAAGATGTGGGATATATGTATATACAATGGAATATTACTTGGCCATAGGAAAAGATTTTGCAGCAACCTGATGGATCTTATGATAATCATGCTAAGTGAAATAAGTCAGACAGGAAAAGTTGAGAACCACATGATTTCACTCATATGTAGGCTATAAGACTTAAAGCAACAAACTAATAAGACAAACAAACACTCATAGACACAGACAAAAGGTTAGTGGTTACCAGAGGGTAAGTGGGAGGGGGAATGGAGGAAGAGGATCAAATATACAGTGATTGAAGGGGGACTAACTCTGGGTGGTGAACACACAACGCAATATAGAGGTGATGCTTTATAGAACTGTACACACACAACTTATATAATTTTACTAACCATTGTCACCCCAATAACTTGAATAAAACTTTAAAAACAAATGCTGCTGAAGAAAACTAAGAGTAGAAATTGATGTGGAATCTGAGCAGCTATGGCTGACTCTGCTCTGAGGGGCACCATGGTATGTGCTGGGAACAGAGAAGTAAGATGCAGCCCCGCCTTGGGAGACACAGACCACAGCTAGACCTTCTTCATTAAAAGGTCTTGGGCTTAGCCAAGTACAGCAGGTGGCCTGAGCCTATGGAATTCCTCAGTTAGGTGTGAGTCCTATTCCTCAGGTGTGGGATGAAAACACAGTATTGTTCCCTTATCCAAGGTTTCGCTTTCTGTGGTTTCAGCTCCTTGTGGTCAACTGCGGCCTGGAAAGTAATGGAAAATTCCAGAAATAAACAATTCTTAAGTTTTACATTCCATGCTGTTCTGAGTAGCGGGACGAAATCTCACACTGTCCCACTCCATCCTGCCTGGGACGTGAGTCACGCCTTTGTCCACTATCCCCACACTCTACAGCTCCTGCCCGTTAGCCACTTACTTATCAGATTCACTTTCAGAATGTCGCAGTGCTTGTGTTCAAGGAACCCTTATTTTACTTCATAATGGCCCCAAAGGGCAAAAGTAGGGATGCTGGCAATTCAGACATGCCAGTAAGAAGCCAGGGAAGTGCTTCCTTTAAATGAAAAGGTGTGTATGTATAGGAAAAAACGCTACATGTAGGGTTTGGCACGATCTGTGGTTTCAGGCATCCACTGGGGGTCCTGGAATGTATATCTCACAGATAAAGGGGACCTACTGTGAGTAATTAACTTAATAGAAGTAGTTCATGCCTCTTTAGTTTGATTACTGCTTCATTAAGGTTTGTACTCTGTTCAATTTTATTTACCTTTTTAGTAAAGTGAGTATCCTAGGGATGACGTGCATCCATGATCCCTTCCTTTCTTTCACCAAGACCTGCTGGCTGCTCGGCATCACTCCTTCCTATCTTCACAGCCTCCCCTTGAGTCGATGGCCCCATCACTTCACCCCCATGTTACTACAGTAGCTTGGTCTCCCGGTCTCTCCATTTGCCTCCCTACCTTTATTCACACAATAATCAGAGCTCTTAAAAACATAAATCAGAGTTTACCACTCCTCTGCTTACAAATTTTAGTGGCTCTTTCAATAAAATCCACAGTCTTGGCTATGGCCTGCTTTGCGATGCATGTTCTGACCCTTCCTTCGCAATCCAATATCCTATCATGTCCCCACTCACTACCTTCCAGCCTTTGCCTTTGCTCCTTCTGCCTAGAAGCATATGTGTCCCCCCCCCCATCTTCGTAGAGCCTTCTGCTGTGATCCTTCCACTCAAAAAGCACCTCCCCTGCGAGGCCCGTCCCAAGCAGCCACCCGAAGTGGTTGCCATAACTAATGCTCCATTGTCTGTTTATTTTCTTCAAGCAATTATCACAGTGTCTGAAATGATCTTGCTTATTTTTTTAGAGGACTATTTCTCATTATAAATCTTTTATTTGGAGAATTATTTTATTGCATTTTTTTCTCTTTTTAACTTAAAATTATAATGTGGCTTTGTTTTTAGAGACTCTTTTAAAATTTTTCACAGCAAATAAATTTTAATCCACTTAATTAACATTACATAAATAGTTCCAGAGTTTATCTTATTGTCAAACTGTTTGTTTCTGCTTTCGATGAGATTCATCAAATTCCTAAATTCCGTAGATGTTAACATTGACATTTCATTCCTTACTCAGGGTTAAAAAATCATTTCTTGGCTATGTGATACTTGGCTGAGTGTTTCACTGGCTCACTGATTTTTTTTCTCCCTTGTTTTCTTTTTACATGTAGCTTCAGCCTGAGTTGTCACTAACAATAGAAACTTGTATTATGTAGAAGAGAAATTTCCAAAGGAAATGAAATTACGTCCATTCTGGGTATACCAAACACCCAAGATTTTTATGTAAAATAGCAGAAGTACTCCCTGTCTTGAGAAACTAGAGAAAATTAACTTCATCTGGCAGAATGAACACAGAAGGCAGGAGAGTCACAAGGGCACATGTACAATAAAATCAGGAGAGGTCCATAAACAGATGCCTGATTGTAAATTAAGTGAAGTTTGCAGCCGCTGCTATAGGTTGTGGTTCACACTTTCTGCTGATACATATTCATGGCAACTAACATCTGTGAACTGGTGTTGTAAATAAGAAAAGAAAAACAAATCGACTG